TATCCTATTAAGGTTTTTATTTACAATTACGTACACTCGTTCTCGTTATTCTTTTAAATTATACTGTACGTATCAAAATTTATTTATATAAGCTATAGTAAGTTTTTTTATAACAAGAGTAAGTTTATTACTATCTGCTTTTAGTAAACATTATAGTATAGTACTGTATATTAATCTTTTAGTAAAATTTATAAAATTGCTAAATTACTTTATACAGTATACTGTACTGTACGTATAAGTTAGTAAAATGTACCAATTCTTTAATAAAATTTTTTTAAATCTTTATACAAAATAATTTAACAAAACATAATCAAATAACAACTAGCAAAACTAATTTAAAGCCTATTAATTTTTTTAATTATATAAATTACAGTATATACAGTATTTTTGTTAAAATTATTTAATATTATAACTTTGAGATAGCTATGGCAAAGATGCTTCAAGTTTTAATACAAAAATCTTATAAAATTCTATAATAAACCACAATTTTTTAATAATAATATACGTATATATTGTATATTTAAAGCTATATACTGTTGAACCACCCCAAACCGATATGCATGATACAGTATTAGTTTTGAGAGGTTATCAGATTTGAAAGCATTATAAAATATTAAATTTATATACTGTATATAACGAACAGAAACGAACTTGGTAGACTAATTTTTTATCAGATTTGACAGGTTATCAGTTTTGATTTTGGGAGGTTCAATAGTACTAAATTAAAGATCAAAATTAATTAATTAGTTTTCATAAATTTTATAAAATTTTATATATTTTAATATATTAATTATATATTAGTTATATAGTAAATTGATTATACAGTATACTGTATAACCTATATATTATTTTAAAATTTTAATATTCCCCAAATTATTATTTATCCCCCCTGGCAATGGACTACTGTATGTTAGAAGATATCTCAGCAACTATTAGGTCAAATTCAATGAACATTTTTTTATTTTAATTAGAATTTAAACCTAATAGTTGTTAAGATATCTTCGCTCAAAGTTTAAAAAAAAAAATCAAACCAAATTGTACTATACTAAAATTTCTTTAAACTTTGAAGATATCTCAACCCAAATTCGATAAACCTTTTTTTATTCAAATTGTATGGATTCATAGAATTGAAATAAAAAAAATTTATCGGATTTGGTTTTGTGGTTGCTGAGATATCTTTCGTTTAAGGTTTTAAAAAAATTCAAACAGAAGCCGCACAATTTTTTTTAAACTTTGAGCGAATATATCTTAGCAATCACCAAATCAAATTCGATGATTTTCTTCATTTGATCTATGAATTCGTAGAATACAAATAAAAAAAGTTCATCGGATTTACTTGGTAGTTGGTAGTTGCTGAGATATCTTCAAAAGGTTTAAAAAATTCAAAACGTTTATCAAAACAGAAGCTTCACCAAAATTTTTTTTAAACTTTGAGTGAAGATATCTCAGCAACCACCAGGCAATTTCTTTTAATTTGAATTCTACGAATCATAGAATTCAAATAAAAAAAAATATCTTAAAAAAATTTTGGTGTGCAGCTACTGTTTTGATAAGCGTTTAAACGAAGATACCTCAGCAACCACAAAGTCAAATCTGATGACCTTTTTTTTATTTCAATTCTATGAATCACATAGAATTTAAATAAAAAAGTTCATTAAATTTGACCTAGTGGTTGTTGAGATATCTTCACTCAAAGTTTAAAGAAATTTTAATGAATCCATAGAATTCAAATAAAAAAAAATTCATCGAATTTGACCTAGTGGTTGCTAAGATACCTTCGCTCAAGCAGAGGGGTATAAATAATAAATTTGGGAAGTTCATCGAATTTGACCTAGTGGTTGCTGAGATACCTTCGCTCAGGCAGAGGGGTATAATAATAAATTTGGGAGTAATTTCCAATTTTTTATACTTGTAATTTGAAAAAAACTACAAGAATATTTAAAAAATTTTGTACTATGTGATGTACTAGCCAATCAGATTGTTAATTGGGCTCCAAATGTTTAGAAAGTATATCTAGGTTTCAAGTGTCACTATCAAGTTTTTCATTTATTGAGTAAATTGACTTAGAATATAAAACCAAGTTTAATTAATAAATAAAAAAAAGCTTTACATGCATTATATTTTATTGGAGTACGAGTAAAGATTCCTAATTTTAAATACAGTCACTCGTAAACATTAAATACATAAACTAATTCATGGACCCAAATACTCTATTATGTCTGCAGATGCTCGGACCATGCTCTTCGTATTCTGCTTTTGTGTGGCAATAAGAGTAAAATTCCGGCTGTAATCAACGGAAGATTAAAGCAATAATCAATATATATGTTCATGTCAAAATTAGATTTAAGGTGTAAACCTGAGAAATGACTACAAACCAAACTCCCAAGCAGAGAACCCCCACTCCAAACCGCGTAACGTTGCTTCTTGTGGGAGATTACATTAACATCTATTAATGTCGCCTACATATATATCAAATATATTAATAGTCAATTTTACGTTATAAAAGTTATACAATTTTTGACTGACCTTTAAGGTGCCACCACTTAATTCTTCACTTCTCTTAACACGTGCATCGACTACACGTTTTATATCTCGTTGTAAGCGTTTGCCAAAATCTTTAAACATTGTTGAACCGCCCGAAAGAACTATATTCTATCATAGGATTTAAACAAAGTTAAACCTTACGCGATGAAAAAAGGGTAAAAAAAACAATAAAAAATACCTTGTATAAACCACGCCTAGTATCAATTGGACAGCTTTGAATAACGTTATCCACAACTTCGGGAATAGGTGTTAAAAAGTCAGATGACGCAATTTCAGGATTGAAAAATATTTCCGGCCCTAAGAAACGTTCAAATCCAACGTCAACTTCGTACGGCTATTATTAACAAAGGAATCGCGTCAAATAATACCTAAGATGTCGGCGGAATAAAAAATAAAATAAAAATAG